TAAGACAGCTGACTCCACTGTGATGTGACCCCATCTCTCTCTCTCTCTCGCTCTCTCTCTCTCTCACGTGCTCTCTCTCTTGCTCGCTCGCTCGCGTGCGCACGCACACACACACACGATGTGCAAAACTCCGCATTTGAACAGTCAATAGCAAATACTTAAACTAATAACAAAACAGTAGCTGATTCAGAAGCGCCAGATTGTCATAGCAAAGTCAGAATTACCTCCTCTCCTAGGTTCACGAAACGGTCATCCATAAAATGCATTGCTGTTCTGTTGTAAGTAATCTTAAAGATTCCTAAATGCATCTACTTTCGGAAGGCCAAATAAAGTGCTTTTGCTTTCGCCTAGAAACACACACATGCTGACATGCTGCTTCAACACTAACTGCGGTTACTGAAACCACGCCTTCTTTCTTTGCGTGCACATTTGTGCGGCATTACGCAAATATTCCCACATAGTGAGGTAGATATGTGGGGGCGTGTTAGAACGAGCCGTTTTAGGGGGGAATGGTAGAGTCTTAACTTTGATAAAGAACATCTCTTTGGTTTTGAGACTTTAGTTTTTGCAACTTCAGTGATCTTATCTACGCACAATCAGCTTGTAACACTCCAAAGAGAAAGAAAAACTTGAAATCGCATCATATGACCCTTTTAAAAATAAAAAAAAGACAAACACAATGTCCCAATTAATTTGATTTGTTCACAAACGAAAACATTTCTAGTAAATTTGGTTGATCGTGAAACAAACATTTCCCAGTTTTTTTAACTTTATGAACGGTAGGCCTATGTCCCAGTTTATTTAATTTGTTCAGAAATATAATGTTCCAGATTATTTAATTGTAAACAGAAATAGGGATGCTCCGATCTGCCTTTTTTTGCTGCCGATACCGATTCCGATACCTAGGGTTCAGTATTGGCCGGTACCGATTCCGATCCGATACCAGTGAAGTTTTTTCCCCTCATTTAAATAAATGTAGAATTTATATATCTCTGTGTGTGGAACTGATAATCATTCTTTCACAATCTACTAGATACAGACTACTTCATTATAAAATAAACAAATATGAAAAAATATGGGCCTATGTATATTTATAATCTATGACAAAAATTTATCATAAACTAGGTTAGTGGATAATTCGGCAGCAAAAGTTATTCTAGAAAAATCAGTGCACAATAATTTTAGAAATCCAAACATTTAGTGAAAAACAATATTTTGTGGGGAACAAATAAAAGTGCTAAATATGGTAAAATGTTACACATTGCTATTTGTATTATTATAAAATCCATTCATTAAAAACATTCATGAATGCATTTATATACAAGTATATACTATAAAATTTAAATACATTTATTTGAAATGTATAGCATATTTTTTAAGTTATGCCATTTTACAAACATATATAATGTTTGTAAAATGGTACAGCTTTTTAAATATCTGAAAGTACACTCTTAATATCAGTAAAGCATTATAATATGATAATCAAGTGTTATTTAATAATAGAAATTTAGTAATTAGAATTAAAACTTCGTAACCATGAATTTAGGACTGGTGCTGGTGCTTTTTTTGGTCATTCAGTGTTCCTGTAAATTGTGTGCGTTTGCTCGAACTGATTCGCTGAAATCAAAACAGGGACGATACTAGGTGAGCACCAGCCAATGAGATTGTCGTTTGCGCATTACATTACATGCCACATTACGCCAAATACACAAACACAGGTGCGCTGCGCATCCATTCAAATGAACTGAAAAATATCACAGATCGCTTGACGGAGAGTGAAACTCTGAAGCGCTCAGTCAGAGTGTTCTGTGAGTGAAAATATATCTGTGCTAATCATATACTCAGCCTCCAACTCACACACTGGCGAGCAAAATCTGAGAATTTATTAGCCATTGGCTAATATTAGACATAATTTAGTCGCCCAGAGTGAAGATTTAGTCGCATATGCGAGGGATTTACTCGCAATGTAGAGGGTTGACAGTCTATGTTAAAAAGTGCAAAGCACAAAGGGAAGAGAAATTGATGCGTAGTGTATTATATCTGTGCAACAGTTATTGAGCCTTTCTTTTAACAGTTTAAAATTTCAGTTACTGTGCACGTTAAAAACAACTGATAGTCTTTTCTACGCCGGTATTTTGTTCTCACAGACATCCGGTAGCAAGTAACAAAACATTAAACTCCGGCAAGAAGATAAAGTCCTTTTTGTAAAATCATAGACATGTATTTACAAATCAAGTATAATGGGAACACAGAATAATCTTGGAGAGAGCTTTACCGAGCTAACTGCTGTAACCGAATGCGACCAGGGTTTAAACTTTAAAGGCTGAATGAATGACTGACAGCCACAGCGGAGAGAGTTTGTGTGAACTTTAATGTAAGGACTTAAATATTCATATGCAGCTCAAATTAAGCTATCGTATGGCTTCAGAAGTAACACGGAATAATTCGCACAATCGAAAAAAATATATCTCGGATTTGGATCGGTTCTCTCTGCCCGATACCCGATCCGAGAAAATTTGGCACTATCGGAGCCAATACCCGATATGAATATCGGATCGGCGCATCCCTAAACAGAAATGCAGTACCGCTGCTCCCTGTAAACAGTTTGTGTGGGGCACCATCCCAGTTGCTAAAAAAAAACAAACGAACATATAAAACACTTTCATTCTATATGATTATTAACATATACATAAATAAAAATCTAAACATTAACACACATATTATAAAAAAAATAATTTTATGATGAACGCAGACAGTATAGGCAGTATAAGCACACGTGACGCGCCATTCCCGCATATGCGCCCGCGCTCGCTCTCACCTCATGTTTGCGGCTGAATACAAATGATCATCATAATTAATGGACAACTAGGCTATATCAGGGAAAAGACATCTGCACAGTCTGGCACAGAGAAAAGAAAAAGAAAAAAGCCCAAGATGAAGCCCGTGCATCACTTTCAGGTAGCTACATTCATAATCCTGTGAAACTTTTTTGACTGTTGACGTTAGTAATGTGTTTTAATATCGGTAATAATTTTACCACCACCAACAACGCATCTGACTTAATATTCTAGTTTTAATGTCTTAAAATGTATTATATAGAAACAATGAGGCAATAATGATTGGTTAATTAATAATAATCATATGGTTTCATTGAATAATACTGTTAAAATAAACAATTTGCATTATTACAAATGCCTGCAAAGGGCACCAAAGGCCTGGTAATTGCTGTTGTTACACTTGCAGGACGATCAAATCCTTGTTTAATATTGACCAAACAT